GATAGTGCCTGTTCCCTGTGGACAAGATTGAAAGAGCCTATAGACTGTTAAGAAAGCTTTAAAGTACCTGTTTGTTTTCCTTAATAAAGAACATTGTTGAACCTTTAAGCAATCTAAAAACTCTGTGTTTTAAGGAAATCCAAAGGCCTTTAATCTGAGGCAGCCGCGGCGTCCTGTTGGGCACACAGAATTTATGTCCTGTCTACAGTCTGATGTACAGGCCCAGCGTGTGACAGCACAATTGAATCTAAGGAAGATGCCCTGTGTTACCTACACAGAAAAACTACTTAAAATCCTATTGTAATTGGATTCACAAGCAAAGTGTCTCTGTGCAGTATACATGAAGTTTTGTGAGCAAACCAACTCTGTTACTTTTAAAGAAGACTGTTTATTTTGTCTCTTGAGAGCACAATTTAAAGGCAAATATATTTTAAGGGAGAGTAGATTTTTTGGGAAACTAAAGGAATACTTCTAAAACTCTTCTGAATATATATTTTGTGTGTTGAGTTGACATGTCTTTGTCCCTGGCAGTTCAAAGACATACCTGGGTACATTGTTTAACAGCTGAGAGACCTAGTTGCCTTACACGAATGCTGGTGAACATCACTTTTCAAAAGGTTGTGACTTCTATCAAGGTCATACCTTTCTTTGACCAGTGCTTTTTTCCAAAAAGGTTATGAATCCCATTTCCCAAATGGTTATGGAGATTCACATTTGCCAAAAGGTTATGGCATCATTTTGCCAAATTTGTTACATTGCTTTAGATAGGCAACTTTGTTACGCATTACTTACCCGCCCCTAGTGATTTTTGCAGGTAACTATATTACCTTAAACTAACAGCTTAAGAGCTATGGACCTAAACACTTTTCCAGACCCTTTTTGCATCCTATTCAGAGATGTTAAATACCCCAATTTTCTCTACTTCTCCCTTATTTCATCTACCATTATGCTGTCATTATTACTTTACATTTCCCCATTCTTACAGGCAGCATCCAGTATAAAGGGAGTTCTAAATCTGTAAATATTATGTCTTCTTTTTTTATTTCCAAGACATCTGTTGAAATGTCCAGTTCTTCTTGAGTGTTCACCATCTTTATGATACAACGAATTGGCTGTCGAGAGAGATGTTAAACAGCTCTGAAGCAATGTGAAGACAACCCAGTTTTGCAAGCTGAGCCTTTATAGGAAAGAATTTATGCCACAGTACACATGTAACAGACATTTCTATTTTACATTGACATATTTAGCTCCCCATTCTTCAAATGCTTATCCTTTCCCTATTTCATTTTATCAGACCAGCTTTCCTGCACACTTTCCTGTTCAATATTTAATATATCTAGTCTCTCCTGTAGTTTTTTTTCTCATAACCTTCAGATTTAGTACACATATTGTGCTAAATGCTGAAAATCACTCCATAAATGAAAACATTCAAAAGAAATTCCGAGATGACAGCTAACATCTTCTTGGTGGTATAAATCACTTACCACATGTGGAATAGCTAAATGCACTTCAGCTTTGAGAAGTGAAATAACTTCTTCAGGTTTTGTAGCTGTCTGAGGCAAATAAGGTGGTCGTCCAAATGAACTGGAGCTGAAAAAAGACATCATGAATTATTAAGGCAGGATCAGGTGCCTTTCACTCCTTCCTGCCAGTGCAAGAATGAGAAGAGCACTCCCAAATCAATGACCTCTGCCTCATGCAGGCAATTCCAGAAAAGGCAGCCATGATAGTGGGGCAAACAGAGGAGGAAGCCTTTTTATAGCTCCCATGAGAGAAAGGCTTAGAGAAGAGCTTGGTATTATGAGAACTATCATGCTTTTCCTGGTGGCACCAAAACATTTCCCATCCTGAATGGGATATCCCTTAAAACCCTGATTAATAGAGAAGGGGACAGGAAAATAGTAAGTGTGGCTATTTAAAGCAGCAAGGTAAAATTAAAGCAGGAAGTGAAAAAGCAAATCAAATTATAAAAGGTATGTTACAGAAGGAATTTTCTTAAGAAACGGAAAGGTGGCAGAACCTAAAGTTTTTGTATGTTTTTGAAGAGAAAGATAAGATAAGGTATTTAGCCAAGCATATAATGGAAGGGAAGAGAAAAGGAATTATCTTAGAAGTGTTCATAGGACTAGCAAAGGCAAGGAAACAAATTAAGTGGCGGAGCTAGAAACTAGCAAAAGTCTCAGTTAAGATAGTGCTATTTATTGCCTTCCTGCAGTAGCAGAAGGAGTTAATCCATTCCTGGTTGTTAACTTCTCCACTGGAAAGCAATGGTTAATATACCTCAATGAGATTTAGAAATTTGAGCTATCAATCAGTATTGAGTTTTCTTCATCATATAGAATCATCTCCCCGCCCCGCCCTCCCCCCCCCCCCCACACACACACATACCTTGAAACAAATACTCTTTTCTTAAGAGCATCCAAAGACAAGCGAGTTGCTTTCTGCAAACTATCCAACAACTGATGACTAAAATATGCAACTACCTCCTTGCATTCCTGCATTTAAGAGAAATACTCATTTAGATGTCTGTATAATACACATCTTGCCAGAGTCATTCAGTGGCTGACACTGAATGTGAAAATAGTCAATAGTACATCCCTGCTCTTTATTTAGTCAAATCCAATATATTTTGAAAAATTCCTGTTTCTGACTGAATGGATCACAGAAAGATTTTATAGCAAGCAAGACAAAATTGAGACTGTACTGAGAACCTTTCAATATCTAGTGAAGGTTATTATTCATAAGATTATTATTAATAAGAATTGTACCAGCAAATAGCACCAGCCTAGGAATCCCCCCCCCCCCCCCCCCGCTTTGCCACCAAAGACTGGATTTTCCTACATTTTCCAGCTGCAGACCTGAAAATGGTTTTTGGACACTGGCTGTTTTCGGGAGGTTCACAAAAATAGATTTGCAGGTCCACCAAAATTTGGATACAAAAACGGATTGCAGTTCAGCCAAATTGCACAACACTACTAAATAGTCCCCTCCTGCTTTGAATTCACCAGGGTATTATTCAAAAGCAACACATAAAGGATTGAATAATAGAATCATAGAGATGGAAGAGACTTTAAAGGCATCCAGTCCAACCACCTGCCATGCAAAGCATTCCTGACACATGGGTCATCCAGCCACTGTTGAAAAACCTCCAGATTGAGATGGAACTTTATTTAGCTTATTTGTGCACAAAAGTCCAGAACTACGAAGAGTTGCTTTTTCCAGACTACAGCTCCAAGTAATCCTTAGCCAGCACTACTACTTACCAAAGACTGGCAGAAGGATTCTGAGAGCTGTAGTTTCTAAAATAATGGCTGGCATCCTGTTAGTCAGTTACTTATTCCTGTTTTATTATTGAGGCACCATTGCTGAGGTTGGAAATGCCCTCCAAACCCACTTTAAAATCCAGCTAGCTGCACTGAGGAATGGAGGTGTGTTGTGATGGTAAATAGTAAAGAATTACACATTTAGCCCGCTTCTGCCAGCTGTCAGCTCTGTGGTGAGCAGAAGCCACAATCCCTGCAAGGTGCTGTCCCAACTCCCCAGTATGCTGGAGATAAATATCAGAAGGGAGATGAAGGGATGCATTGCCCTTCACCATCCTCTTGCCAGAGCCACAGAACTCAATCTCTCCATGAAACTAACTGGATTTAATAGTAGTTTGTAGGGTTGGATCTGGAGACAGATCATAGCTACATCATAGGCTACATCATAGGCTCAATAGCAATGCATCTTCTCAGCCAGTGCCCAAATTTTAAAAAGAAAAGGGGTTACTAGAATCTCAAATAGAGTACACTCAGTGACTCAATTGCTGACTAGTGAATTAACCCATATGAAAATCCAGTCTCTACTCTAGTCAAAACTTAATAGAGACTTCTTAAATAAAAGTACAAATAATATTAAGACATATGAGGAGTTGAAACAGAATTTTACAAATATTACATGGTTACATTATATGTAAATTAAAGACTATTATAATCAGGATAAAAAAATTAGGCTTCAGTTGGGAAGAAGTAATATGGGATAGGATATTAAAATTGAAAAGAAAATAATATCCAATATTTATAATATATTACTTAACTGGTTGACAGAAAAAGAACAGGTTAAAGATTGTATGATAAAATGGGCTCAAAACCTAAGAAGACCAATCCAAATGAAAGAGTGGGAGCAAATGTGGAACAAAAAATTAAAATATACCTATGCAACAGACTTAAAGGAAAACTGGATAAAAATGTTCCACAGATGGTACACCACACCAAAACAATTAGCTAAAATGTACAAAACAGTCTAGGATAAATGCTGGAAATATAAGGACCAACTTGGATCCTTTTACTACAAGTGGTGGACATGTAAGGTAGCAGTTAATTTTTGGGTAAAGATACATGAAGAAATACAAAAGATTTTAAAAAGAAGTTTTTTGGGGGAAAAACCAGAATATTATCTATTAGGATTTATGGATTTGGATTTACAATTAAATGAGGAAGAAGATAAACTTTTTACATATTTTACGACAGCCGCCAGGATTGTTTTTGCAAGAGAATGGAAAAAGGAATCAACTCCACCCACAGAAGAGTGGATAGGGAAAATTAGAGAAATAAAAGATATGGACGAATTGACTTTCTTGTTGAAGAAAAACACAAGTAATATTTTAAAGAGGACAAATTGGGACCCTTTCGATAACTATCTGGAAAGTTTGCAAAAACGAAATTAAACACAAGAGACAATTTTTCTTTTTGTGAAGTTTAAATTTTTTTCATGAGAGAAAGATAATTTCCAAGGAGATGGAATGGAAGTCATTTATTTTTATTTTTATCCTTTTTTTTCCTTCTCTTATTTTGGGTGTGCTTTTTTATTTTTTGGAGCTGTTTTTTAATCTTTTTATTATTGTTTTTTTACTTTTTTGGCACTTTTTTCTATGTCTCTACTTTTTTCTCTTTTCTTTCACTTTTATTGTTCTCACTCTTTCGTTGTATTATGGAAAATATAATAAAATTCTTTTTTAAAAAAACTTAAAAGAGGATATAGGGTCATTGGGTTCTTGTAGGTTTTTCAGGTTGTATGGCCATGTTCTAGAAGCATTCTCTCTTGACGTTTTGCCTGCATCTGTGGCAAGCATCCTCAGAGGTTGTGAGGTGATTGTTGTTGTTATTATTATTACTATTGCTATTATTATTATTAATGTATTAATTTCTGCTACAAAAGTTTAGGCATTTGTATCCGGCAGCATACAACCATCACAGAAAAAAAGTTATAACTTGTTTTTGCTATCTTTTTATGTCCATGTTAATGTGGTTCTAGGAAATGGTATAACAATGAATCCATCAAAGTGTACTAAAGAGATTTCACTAAACTGGGAACCATGCAGCCCTGTGGGTACTGATTAATTACAACTTCTAGAATTCCTCACCATGAGATATACTCACTAGGCCTGGAAGCCACAGTATAACAGCATTACAAAGGCTGCACAACTGGTATGCCTAGTCTAACTGGATGAGATAATACCTTATGATGTTTTAGAACATATGAAACAGATATGAAATGAAGGGGTCATTTCATGAGACCAGGTGCTGAGTGGGTTCTGAGTTCTTTCGTTCCATCCAAGTTCTCCTTGGCTAGAAGCAAGCCCTATCAGGAAAACAAATGAGTGGAAAGGAATTCATCTGGGAAAGAAAGCCATTTCCCACTTGCCATCATTCCATTTTAAATCGCTTACTCCATAAAAATAGCCTCACAGTAAAAAACATAAATGATTTTTGACAACTACCTGTACAATTTGTGCAGGATTTTCAAATGTTTTCTGATATATCTAAATGATGACGACTGTTGAAATGTATATACTTTTATCGCTTTGCAATTAAATACCTTTTTAAACTCATCCTCCTTCTCGCTGTCCTCAGTTTCCTCAGTAAGGATTGCAGAAGACCCAGAAGTTAGACTCTGAACTTCTGATGAACCAAATGCAACATGTTTCCCTTCTGCCAGAAACAAAATAGAAGACATTGTATTAAACAGTTGGCCTGTGGCAAAGTCTTATGTAGGTAGAGGCTGAACAGGAAATAGTAATTATACCAGCACCGGCCAACCCTTGTCTTTCCCTGGCTTTTAGGCATTCCATGGAAGGTTTTCAGTTGACACAACAAAGATAGTGCCCAACACAAGTAAGTTATGTCCATGGAACCAGCATATCATATAACAGAGATTTACAGGTCATATAGATTGAGCTTTTTCACATAATGCATTCATCCCAGATATTAACCATTTTATTTACCTCTGTGTACCAGAAGGACTTTAGTTGAAATAAGACAATGTCCTGCTAAGTAAGTTGTTTTGGTTGTCCCACATCCCACCCACAATTTTTGCCATTTGGTTCAATTTTATCCTGTGAATTTGTAGCTGGAATAGAAAAAAATGCCTGTAAATAAAAGGTGCTTCTATTGCTGTATGATTAATCAACATTATCGCTATTGTTACTACATGAAGGGGACAGATACTCAGAATTCACTATCCACATTGTGTCCAGATTAATTTAGTCCTTTTTTTCATTCTGATAGTTCAGTTCTAAATAAATTAGAATTAGATTTTTTTTTTACTGTACTGCTCTTAACTGTATAGTAAATATACAAAGAGTTTATTCTGGGGATGCTGTTTTCCCAGAGTCTTTTTAGATTCTCAGAACATGAATGTAAAATGAATACAACTTAAATATCTTCCTGGCAAATTTTGAAATTCTGTGCTTTTACTTTTTTGATATCTTTAAACAACTTGTTCTTTAGAAACAGAATAAGACAATATAGTATGTTAAAAGCAGTATTTCAAGAACATTTTAGAAAATATTTTGCATTTTCTTAGGTATAGCTAAGAGAAGTAAAGAAGTATATAAGAAACAGCTCAATGCTATGTCCATGCCCTTATTATTTCTTATGGAGATATACATACATGTGTGTGTGTGATTTTAATGTGCATGCATTTTAAATATTAACCTAAGCTGCCTGTCTTTTACAACACAATCCAGACATTTAAAAAATGAGATCATTTAACATGGAAGGAAAATAGTATCTATTGTAGTTGCTTTTACAAAATGTGATGGTAGAAAGATGCTTTAAAAACTGTACCTATGACTTGGGATTGGTTAACACTGCAATTAATTACTGTTTATGATCTGCTTTTACTCGCAGACATTACATAACAGAAGATTAATCAGTCCTTATTCTTAGGGAATACTAAAGGAACTGAATGCTTATTTGATTATTGGAATTCTTTAATACAGTAAGACAGGATGAGTAACTGCCAAGCAATTATGTGGAAGTATACATTTTGCAGTATTATTAAACAAAATAATCATTTCAACTGACTCATTATTATCAGCCTTCAAGTTGACTTTGACCCAATGAATGAGATCTTGATGTCATACGATCCTCATCAGCCCAGGTCTTGCAGGTTCTAGGCTGTTGCTTCCCTGATTGAGTCTGTCCATCTGGGATGTGCTATTTTACCATAAAAGATACAATTTTCCCTTGGCATTAAGTCTACTCATGTCCAACTCTGGGGGGTGGTGCTTATCTCCATTTCTAAGCCAAAGAGAAGGTCTTGGCCATAGACGCCTCCAAAGTCATGTGGCCAGCATGACTGCATGGAGCACTGTTACTTTCCCACCGAAGCAGTACTTATTGATCTACTCACATTTGCATGTTTTTGAACTGCTAGGTTGGCAGAAACTGGGGCTAACAGTGGGAGCTCACTCTACCCCAAGATTTGAACTGCCAACCTTTGTTCAGCTCAGGAGTTTAACCCACTGCACCACCAGGGGCTCCATTTACCTTCTTTTACTATACTTACAGAAAAATCAGAAAATGATAGCTACATTAATTCCAAAATCAGTTGACCCATTTTAATCAATGGAATTCTGTGAATCTTACCAAGTTCCCACTGAATTAGTGGACTTTCTCCTTTTGGGACCAATAACAGAATTAAGATTTACATTGTTAACCTCTACGTATAAAACAGGCACAATTCCCATGTTCACTATGATCTGTTCCCATATCTCCAGGGGCGGCTCAACCCATTACACAAAGTAAGCATTTGCAGTATAGTTGATTTTGCCCAGGAGCGCTCTTGAGGCATTCTTGGGGGAAAATAGACCTTGACATATGCGAGTTGTAGTTACTGGGATGTATAGTTCACCTACAATCAAAGAGCATTCTGAACTCCACCAGTGATGGAATTGAACCAAATATGGCACACAGAACTCCCACGATGAACAGAAAATATATATCAGTGATTGGTTGGGGGGGGGGGGCAAAATACTGTTTGCTTACTGTTGAAAATTACCTAGGGCCGCCTCTGCATGTCTCTATAAATTGAAGTAATTGCTACCTAATAGCCAATAACTAGTACAACAGGCACTTTTCTACAAGCTTGCTTAACTTTGAAGTTGCACAACAAGGAATACTTATTTATCTCCCACCTGAACAGAAAGGGAAACGCAATTTCCTTAATGCTCCAGTTCATTCAGTCTATTAGTGAAGGTGAACATTATGAACAGATATCAAATATAATGCTTGTAAGGGTTTAATTAGATGTTAATCTTACTAGTATAATTGATACTGCTTCAACAAAGAATTTTCAGTCATCTAACATTTCTAAATTAACTCCCACTTCAAATCATTATTCAACCTAGAATCCAGAAAAATATGTAAATATCTCCATGGAGTCCAAGCATGTTGTGAGCACTGGAGTGTTTTCTCTGGAACAAGTATCCCTGGCCATTGCTAAGCTGCTTTTGAAAACTAAGATAAAGTTCAAATGCAGGGTATGCTATGTCAGGGGTATGTGTTTACCAGCTGTCTTGGCTAAACTCTGATTCTTGGCAACATCATGTGGAGCAAAACCAGGAACATCTCTGATGTTCAGAGGCATAGCAAGGATACGGCAGACTGATGAGAACTCATGTTAGTCATACTAATAAGAAAAGTGCCATGCAAAATTGCTGAGTCCCCATATCCAGTGTGAACCAGTTTCTATGTAGGCTATCAGCACAAACTAATCATGCACACACCACAAAAACTAAACAGATGTGAAAGAAAAATAATATAAATACTATAAGAAATTGTACTTACTTCCTGTATAACTTCATAAATATTTTTTCATTATGGAGATACAAATAAATAAGTACCTTGTGTTGGACTTTTTCTTACAAGTGATTTTTTAATACGCTTAACTTCATAAATATGTTCAAATATAGATATCAGTTCCTGTACAGCATCTTCGACGTGTCGGCTTTTGTTGTTTAATATTTCAGCCCATTCCTTGGTGGAGGTCTGTTCATGGCATTCAATGAGAATGTTTAATATATTTCAGTATGGAAAGTAAATGAAAATGTTTGAACAAAGTTGTATTGTTTATTTGTTTGTTTATTAGCAGCATTTTATAGGAATAATTTTATTTGTTATTTATAAATATAGAGCCCGCGGTGGCGCAGTGGGTTAAACCCCTGTGCCGGCAGGACTGAAGACTGACAGGTCGTAGGTTCGAATCCGGGGAGAGGCGGCTGAGCTCCCTCTATCAGCTCCAGCTCCTCATGCGGGGACATGAGAGAAGCCTCCCACAAGGATGATAAAAACATCAAATCATCTGGGCGTCACCTGGGCCCATCCTTGCAGACGGCCAATTGTCTCGCACCAGAAGTGACTTGCAGTTTCTCAAGTCGCTCCTGACATGGCAATAATAATAATAAATATAGAGAACAAAAGTTTTAGATACTGCAGTGCTGTAATTCTGAATTAACAGAATGAACTTGAGGTTAGAAAAGCAATAATTTGTATTCTTCTTTTTATTATTTGGAATATGAAATACTTTCAGTTGGAGAAAAAAGATATTTAAGTGGAATTAGTTTTAAGAAACATGCAAAGACATTTTTGGCGAATTCTATCTACACTATGCAATTAATGATGTTTGACACCATTTTTATTACAATGTCTCAGTGGAGTGCTCGCTTTAGCAGAGAAGACCTTATTAAATTACAGTTTCCATTATTTCTTAGCACTGAACCATGACAGTTAAAGTAGTATCAGACTGCATTAATGCTATGGTGTAGATGCAACCTTACCTACAGGGAAATTAGGTCGGCTCCATCTCACCTTTCCTTTAGGAAAAAGCTCAAGTCATGGTTCTGGAACCAAGCATTCAGGTAGCAGGCTTAACAGCAATTTGCAATGCTTCATGAGAACGGATAATGGACAGGGGTTGGACTGGGACTCTGGATGTTGAATTGGACATGGATATGGCTATATTGTAAATAATATTTTTAGATGGATATTTTCTAACCTATTGTTTTAAACTAATGTTTATCTGTGTTACACTATGTTGCTTGTATGTGTTGGAGAAGGACGGGGTACAAATGTTTGAAATAAATAAATAAATAAATAAACTTAGATAAATATTGAGCTCAGGCTTGAACCAGAATGATCTGTTGGTTCACTTAAGTGATGTGAAAAATACTGATTTTTGACACAGCACACCAGTAATTAAGAATCAGGCTACAGCTTCCACTGAAACATAATGTCTGGTGTCGGCATTTCCTGGCCTGCAGAACAACAGTTGAAGACTACAATGCAGCTTGAATGAACTAGTTCCTGTATAATCATCTGCACACTGAAACTACTCTCTACATTAGGTGGTCAGTGTAGATGGGCTTCCACAGCTTCTGACTAATTGTTCCTGTTTTGGACAGTTCCAGATTCCTGCCATATAACCCAGTTCAAAGCAGATAATGTGGGATTTTATACAGCTGTTTGGAAGGGTCCCTAGATTACAAGTCAGAGCACTGAGATTTTAAATAATTCTAGGAACTCTCACAACACCCTGTCTTATGGCTGATTTTTAATAGCACTGATCAACATCAGGAGCCAGCTCTCTAAAAGAAATGCATTAGGTTGAACTGTACAGATTTGAGGTAAAGCATAAATACTAAAAGTTGTACATCATATACCATCTAATAGTGAAATATTAAAATTAATTCATATCCCATCTAATAGTGAAGTATTAAAATTAATTCAGAATTATTTATCTTGAAAATAAATTCAAATGACTTTATTTAAATATTTGTTATATTCTAATTGGAATGTGGGAAGATAGTTAAGCAGACATATTTTTCATAATGTAACAAATGGGCATAGGTGTTCATAAAAATAGTATACCTCCACTCAAAAATATTTCAAAATTGGATTTACCTCATTGCGTGCCAACAGATCCTCAACTTTCATTGGATTATCAGGCAGCACAAGCAAAAGAGTATTTGCAATATCTTTCATTGTTAAATCAATCTGCATTTCACATAAATCATTAATCTATAAAAAATAAAATTATAATTAATCACATGTTGTGTTCTTCCCAGACTTACAAAGCAGTGTCATTCAGGAAATTCTATCTATTGTATGTATTGTATGAATCTACTGGTGGACTTGAAGGATGTTATTGGAATTTTGAAGCCCACCACCCTACATTTCAGATTAGACAGTGATGGGTAAAAATATAAGATTTATGTTTGTAAAATGATTGAGTCTGCTCCCAACATCGAGAAGCTGCCCACCTTGTCTAACAATGTAAGATCCTTATCTACTTTTACCCATAGTGGTTCCCAACCTTTGGGCCTCCAGGTGTTTTGGACTTCAACACCCAGAAATCCTCAAAGGTTGGGAACCACTGATGTAAACTATAATAAATAACCCTACCATCTTCTGAACATGAACTGGAAATGCATTTACCTTTTTCAACAGTTGATTAAACATTTTCATAACTTCATCAACTTCTTGAAAGAAGCTAGGCAAAGTCAGAGACGACCACGTCAGAATTGTAAGCCCTTGCCGGAGCACAGATTCCACCTGATGAAAGTGGGCAAGGACAGAAACAAACAAACATTTATTGTGACAATGGCCAACCATGACAATTAAATGGCTTTCCTTTTATTTAGGCTTAGTATCTCGCTTATTTTAGCATCTCCTTATGGAATATACCTGGTGGTAAAGTAAATACATTTATAAACATTTGTCATTTCAAGGAATATTCTTCTCTGACCTTTTTTACTTTTGGAGTCATCTGGAGTCATCCATGGATATCTGCAGGGAATAGTTTCTCCTAAAATTCTATATTTATTCTTATTTTTAAATTTTATACAGAAGGATAGTCAGAAATAGGGATTAGAGTGACTTTTCTTATTGAGTCTGGTTATCAAATAAATCTGCCTACACTATTCTGGAAGGGAATTTTCTCAGGCCAGCAAGCAGGTGGAATGGATGCTGCTGATTCTTACTTAGTGATGCTATTTCTGAAAATATTTATAAGATGTGAACACCCTAGCAACAGAGTGATATGATAAATGCTGTGGGAAACATATTTACATAAGCAAACTCTTAGCTTTGATATAAAACCCAACTTTATACAACTTTATACTTTATGCTGTAGTTGAGCTATGGCTGAATGACTATGGGTTGTGCTAATCCTGTATACTAGTTCAAAAATTTTAATACACTTTTTTTTCCCGTGAGAAGTTGAGGTTACTCTGTAGAATCTCATGTGGTTGCTGATATAATAATAATAATAATAATAATAATAATAATAATAATAATCAGCTGATGACCCAAAATGCAGACTGTGCAAGGAAGCTGATGAAACCACAGACCATATCCTCAGTTGTTGCAAGAAAATTGCACAGACGGACTACAAACAAAGACACAACTCTGTGGCCCAAATGATTCACTGGAACTTATGTCACAAGTACCACCTGCCAGAATGGGAATCATAAACCCGCAAAGGTCGTGGAAAATGAACATGCAAAAATACTGTGGGACTTTCAAATCCAACTGACAAAGTTTTGGAACACAACACGTCAGACATCATGTGGAAAAGAAAAAAGTCTGGATTATTGATGTCGCCATACCAGGTGACAGGCGCATTGAGGAAAAACAACAGGAAAAACTCAGCCGCTATCAAGACCTCAAAATTGAACTGCAAAGGCTCTGGCATAAACCAGTACAGGTGGTCCCAGTGGTCATCGGCACACTGGGTGCCGTGCCAAAAGATTTCAGCCGGCATTTGGAATCAATAAACATCAATAAAATCACGATCTGTCAATTACAAAAGGCAACCTTACTTGGATCTGTGCGCATCATTTGAAAATACATCACACAGTCCTAGACGCTTGGGAAGTGTTCAACTTGTGATTCTGTGATACAAAATCCAGCATATAGATCTCGTTTGCTTTGACATACTGTGCTTTTGTGTCAACAACAACAACAACAATAATAATAATGATTTAAATTCCACTCTATCTCCCCAGAGAGACTCAGGGCGGGTTCCAAACAATCATATGACTATAAATGTGAAGGCTACAGACGTAAGACATTGCTTAGAACCTTGTAGGCAGACCTTATTTGGTTATTACACATGGGATACTTTCTCGGGATGTCATAATACTATATTAAAGATATTAATGGAGATACTCTCAATAGCTACTATAAATGGAAAACTCCTAGAAAGCATAAGGCCTTTGCCATACATTACAAATATAATCCACAAAACATCTGAAATACATGTGTTTTTGTTATATATTTTTTTATGTAGTGTAAGTCACAACTGTGCAACATATTGTTGGGTCTTGTGCTCTTACTATCTCATTGAGATATTTAAAATTTGAACAGCATAGAGATTATAATGCATTATAAGAAATAACTCACATTTTTTTAAAAAAAATCTCCCAAGTTGCCATTTGAAATAAGATGCATTTATCACAACCCACCTTTTTCATTTTTGGTGCCATCAAATTGACAAACACTGTTGGTACTTCTTGACACAAATTTTCATAGCAATGTAGAATATTCTGTGATTTAAAACGCAGATGAAATATAGTAATGAATGTTAACAGAAACTAAAATACAAGAGTCCTCACTACTGCACATGGAGCAAAAAGAATCTTTTCAGAGATGGTTTTGACACAAGGAAACTCACTTTTGGCAAGCACTTTTTTTTGCTTTTGCACATCAAGCTTAACTGAGCACTGTAAAGTTCTGATAGATTTGTATCACCTGACGTAACCAATTGAAAATGTAGGGCAAAGGTCATGATTTGCTTCTTTTCTCCCATCCGCTCTGCAGAATATAGTAGTTTCGACACCAGTTTAACTGCCATATCCCCATCCTATGGAATCTTGGGATTTGTAGTTTGCTGTAGCACCAGTGCCATCAGTCAGAAAAGAGTACGTATTTCACAAAATTACAAATAGCATTGAGCAATGGTAATTAATATGATGTCAAACTGATATATTATGTAATGTGGATGGATACAGCATTTCTGGGCTCTATTATAAACTATTCCACTCCCACAGTGGCATAAATATGCTTTATATCTTGAGTCCTGGCTATCACTTTGTACTGCAATTAAGGCCCCTCCTACACTGCCATGTAAAATCCAGAGTATCTGCTTTGAACTGGATTATATCTCAATTTGTTCAAAGCAGATAATGCATTTATATCTTTCAAAGCTCAGGTTACAACAAAAAGCCAGTTTTCTTAAAGTTACTGTTATTATATTCCTCCCTCCATCTCCTTGCAGTTTCTCAAGTCGCTCCTGACACGAAAAAAAATAATCTCCTAATGCCCCAGCTAGTACATTTTTATGTTAATACTGTTTGAAAGCACACCGTGAGAGCAGACTATGTACTGTTGTGGCTTTATACACTATCAAATTATTCTATTTATGAAGACAGTTTAGCCTCACTGATTTGAATACTCTCAGAATCAAAAAGCTAACACTTGATATACACTAAATAAGAGAGAATGATCTTTCATAGAATATGTAGTTTAGCCAGTATTAGAAAAGCCTGAAGATGATATTTTTCTTATTCTATGAGAGACTAGATCAAGTTGCACATCACACAGAAAAGTAGTTCCCTTTCTCTGCCATTGCTATGTTTAGTATAATGCCAAGTTTTTAGCTTTTTTGTGGTTTTTCTATACATTATAACTGTATTCTCAGTTTGCTTTTGACATGGTAAATAATAAATAAACCATGTTGAAGATAATAATAAATAATAATGTTATTGATTAGTCCTTAGGCTAATCAATAACATTATTATTATTTCTCAACCTTCCTAATGCCACGACCCCTTAATACAATTCCTTATGTTGTGGTGATCCCCAACCATAAAATTATTTTCATTGCTACTTCATAACTGTAATTTTGCTACTGCTATAAATCGGAATGTAAATATCTGATATGCAGGATGTATTTTCATTCACTGGAGCAAATTTGGCACAAATACCCGATACATCCAAATTTGAATACTGGTGGGGTTGGGTGAGGGGGTTGATTTTTGTCATTTGGGAGTTGTAGTTGCTGGGATTTATAGTTTACCTACAATCAACAAGCATTCTGAACTCCACCAACGATAGAATTGGGCCAAACTTCCCACAAAGAACCTCCATGACCAACAGAAAATACTGTGTTTTCTGATGGTCTTTGGCGATCCCTCTGATACCCCATCGCGACCCCCCCCCAGGGGTCCTAACCCCCAGGTTGCGAAATGCTGCCATAGGCCATATCACAATACCAAACCAAATAACAAGGTTTTATAAGATTTGATTGCACTCTATGTAGTAAGTTAAAATAAGACACTTATAACAATACAGTAAATAAATATGATAAGATATGATAAACTGATAAAACCGAGCATATACATCATATTTCCTTATCACCCCTACAATTTACCACCATGTTGAAGATATTTTGGCATGACTACAGGATAAAATTTAGATATCTCATAAACCAAAAGCATGCTGACATGATAAGCAAACAATAAACATAGAGCAATTTTAAATTCAATGATAATCATTACTTACCTCCAAGCATAATTTGTTCGATTTAACCTGACTTTCAATCTTGACTATCCTCTTTGCCTGTTCAGGCACTTCTAATCCCATTTTTATCATACATTTCGTCTCTCGAACAATCTCTAAAATTTTGGGGTCAAAATTAACTAAGAGCTTTCCCGTTTCAGGATGCCGTACCAAAAGTGTAACTTGCAATGCTGCAAGTAAACAAAAAATATGTTATGCCATTATTCCAAAATGGTACTCAGAGTGAAGAAGTCAATTCAGTGATAATATTTAGTGAAATTTAGAGTGGATTAAACTACTTACTGTACTGTAACTGTGAGATTTCTTTCATCCAAGCTGAGTGATAGAGTACCTCAAACTCTACCAATACATAGGAGATTTTATTGTATAATCGAACAACTGCTTTGCCCTCGGTACTTGCCAAGATATCGGAATTTTTCTATGGAAAATATTTAATATGAAAGTTGTACAAATTAAAATGAATTAAATGCTGCCTATCTTTATTTATAAACAGTTCAATACATAATATATTTGTATTTCCCTATAACTATTACAAGTCCTTGCAGAATATGACTTTCAAGATTACATTACAAATATGCTAATAAAACACATCATTGCCTCTTCAGGATAATTGCAAACAGCATCATAATTCAGCTTTTATATGTCCAGATCCAAAGTCAAATAATTATACAAAGGAGGAAGGTATAGGCAGCTGGGATTTTATTTATTGTATTGTTTTCTCTCTAGCAATTCTCACTCCTGTAGGGACAGGACACTTTTAAAACAGACAGAAGTTTATCTCTGTGGCAGTAGGAAATGCTGTAGGGAAAGCTAATGAAATCTTAAAAATATGTCTAGGTCAAACTTGGACTGATGATGATGATGATGATGATTTATTTCTAACTGCCCTCTATCCCCAAAGGGACTCAGGGTGTTTACACATACAAAAGGCTAATATTAGATGTTGTATACAATCATAAAACAAAAGCAAATATACATAAAACATAATACAATAAAACAATAAAATACAGATCATAATTAAAAGCGAATATAAAATAAGCACTATGAGAGAGGTGATGTTTGGGCCTCCTGAAGTGCAATAATCAAGTACTGTTCAGATGGAATCTAGAGATAGAACATATAGGTATGAAGTGGCCCTACAGTGTGTTATCCCTTAGTAAGAAAGCAGTCAGGAGGGGGCTTTTTTTACAATATTCATTTGCTCCTCCATAGGTTATGGAGCATAGATGAGTTTTAATATTTTTTTTAAAGGTGTGGAGGGAAGGGGCTGTTCCCTCTTCAATAGGGAGGGAGTTTCAGAGAGCTGGAGCAACCACAGAGAAGGCCCTCTCTCTCATGTCCAGCAGCCATGCTTGGGACACAGGTGGGATCAAGAGGAGGGCTCCCTCAGATGATCACTGTGGGTGAATGGGATTGTAAAACAGGATGTGGGTTCTCAAATAGTCTAAGCCCAAACCAGCTTAATGACCTCTTCACATGGAGCTAAATTCGGTAGTATTCGATTTAGCGCCAGTCACCCATCGAGCTGGCTAGCTTCCATCGCATGGTGCCAGCATGGCTCCATGGGTGAAGGAGGGTGGAGCTGGCACATGCAGCCACCAGGTCAACCCGGGAGGCTTCCCATGTTGCCATTGAAACGCATGGAAGGAAGCCGTGCACACCACATACACACACACTTCCCCCGATCTGATTGCCCTCAGCTGGAGTTGGGCAATGCGGGGCATGGGGCACCAGATTCTCCACACCACTATATGAACCAGAGCACTTCCAGTGGCTGTGTGACAAGGCCGTAACACTATTTTTATGTATTGTTCTAACACACAACAAAATATCATACAATAATTTTATAGATAATGTCTAACCCAGGAGGATGAGTGCACATTAGACTATAAGTAAAACAAGGCCATCTCCAGATAAAATAGTAGTTAATTTCTCCATACTTTGGTGATTCCCTGCCCCAAAATTAGACATAACTACATGTGATATTTAAAACACAGCATGCCACACTCTTTGCTGGTTTTAAAATGTGCATTATCAAGCACAGGGGGTAATTTTCAATGTCATAGAGAGCAACAGGAGGTTTAAATATTCCATTACCAACCAGGATCCTAATCAATATTGCAGACACTGCTGTACTTCCCAAATGAAAAACACATATGGTTAGAAGAGGTAAGGCTGGACTGCAATGTTTTGCTGAAAGATATTATTATTGGCAAATAAGATGAAGAATGGCCTAGATATGTCCGCACAGAGCGGACAAAAATTAGGAGCAATGGGCAAAAAATTTTCATTCAGTCCTCCGGTTGCCTTTATTTGGCCAACAACAACAACAAAGAGCCACTTTTCTAAGGCTCCTTTTGGTGAATGCTGGTCTTCAGACCTGCCATATTTGACCACCTTGGAAAACATAGCATTTCCAAATGGATAAAAACTCCTCTCAAAATTTCTAAATGAGATTAGATATTTCATCAAATGAACTTTCATTTTCATAATCTAATATTTCTACTGATTTTTAAGATCCCTTTGTTTATATGTTCAGTGATACACGTACAATCTCACTGCACATATAAATATACATATAATCTCACTATCTCTCTATAATATCACTACCCATATATCTATATCTCATACTGACAGATGCATACACACATACATACATAATTTAAATTAATTCTGTTTTTATACTCTGTTCCTTTACAAAGACCAGCAAATCCTCCTGAGATATCCAAAAAAGGTTGTCCTTGCACAAAAATAAAGACATTGATCGGCATTTTAGACCTTTCTAGACACTTGTAACTATTTTAAAGTAACAGAAACAGCATCCTAAGGAGTATTGCTAACAAAGGACAGTGCACTATATACTGAGGACTGGTGAGCTGGGATTTTGCTTTGAAAGAAAGACAGTTTAAGTTCTGGTACTTGAATGATTACCAAATGCTGCAGGGTACATTTCAGAGGAAGAAACTGGCAAGATCATCTCTGATTACTGGAGTCACCATACTTCTACATATACACATGTTATTCTCAAAATCAGTCAAACAGCACCACCTGCAGACCCTTATATCTCACTTCTCATCTAACTGTAAAATAACAAGGGTTTTTCCCTGCCATTTGGAGAAAACTCACAACATCCCAGTGATTCCGGCAATGAAAGCCTTCGAAAATACATTAAAAATTTAATAATCGTAATTTGGACAAGTTATATTCTCTTGGCCTCAGAGGAAGAGAAAAGAAAACACCCTCTGAATCAATCTTGCCAAGAAACCCCTGTGACAGGATTGCTTTAGGATTGCTGTTTCCATTTCTCCCCCAACAATTTTAGCTTAATTTTAGAGATTTTAAATGATATTTTAAGATTTAATATGTTAGTAATTGTGTGGATCATGTTGACCCAATTCATTGAGTAGTTCTTGATTTGTTTATTGAATTGTTTATCTATAATTGTCGGCATTGAATGTTTGCCATTGTGTATTTTGTTGTGAGCTGCCCTGAGTCCCTTCGGGGAGATAGGGCGGGCTATAAAGTTTCATTCGTTCATGAATCGGAAACAACCTGAAGGCACACAAAAACAACTAATAGTCACAACCAGAATTATTCCTCCCACTTGGGTACAAGTTTATAAGAAGCAAGCTGCAATGGTTTATCTGCTTAACAACATATGTCACTCTCAGGTGTGTGTTGATGGCACACTTACATAAAAATAAGTGATTGGCTCACTTATGCGCCTGAAAAGCTGCCGCACCCACAATATCTTTCCTGCTATGGGAGGCATGTTTCGAGCCAGGGGAGGGTCATCTTTTTGAGTCTGATAAAGCTACAATAAAGAAAATGCAAATTTAGCCTGCAGTTTACCAAAGTTACATAAGCACAGACTTACACACAAAAGTGTGCAACCATACTAGACTTACACACAAAAGTGTGCAACCATACTAGACCAACGTATTTATGTTTTTCATGATGAAATCAAGGAAAGAAAAGAGGCATAGCAGTATTGACTATTCTAGCTCTAATCAGGGACTGTAGAGCAAAAGGGTTTTTAAGGGAATAATCATAATTTGTTTAATTAATATGTGCATATTTTTTAAAAATATTTTTTTCAAATGAAATAAACTTACAATGCAATGTACATGTTATAAGGAATTGGCAAATTTATTATTTTCTTTTTCATTTGTTTTATATTTAAATGTATCCTTGTTCTGAAGACCATCTTTACATAACAAATGGCAGAACCAAAACACTTTAAAAACAGCATGCATTAATTACCAATCTTATTTACCATAATATCTCCAATTATAACTAGACTGTGCATATTAATCAGCTAAGACAGACGTGCTAACGATGCCAGAGCATGGTGTGTTCTGAAATTGGAGTCACCAGTCAATTTAATTTTTGCTAGAGAGAAATTCAGTTCAATTTGGCTCATTGTTTGGCTCATCCTGAAGCTTCTAACTTCAGAATGAGCCAAAGAATCTGGGTCTCATAGGTCCCATATACACTGCCATATAATGCTATTTCAGCATGCAGATTCAGGGCCCCTCCGCACTTGACTAAATTCCAGGAGGAATTGGGATATTACATCCCAGTTCCTCCTGGGATTTAGTCCTCACCCCCAATGCAGGCCCCTTCTACACTGCCATATAATCCATGTTATCAAAACAGTAAATCCAGATTATCTGATATGAACTGGATTATCTTAGTCTACACTGCCATATAATTCAATCTAAAGCAGATAATCTGGATTTTATACAGTTGTGTAAAGAGGCTCCAAACCTCAGTATTACCTGAGGTGTTCATGCCTGAGGTAAAACTGGGACAAGTTCTCAGTTTTGGGGCTGTCTGGAAGAGCCCTCAGATTGGATCTACACTGCCCTATATCCCAGGATCTGATACCAGATTATTTGATTTGAATTGGATTATATCAGTTTACATTGCCAGATAATCTGTGCTAAGAAGATAATCTGTCTGGTTTACACTGCCATATAATCCAGATTATTAAAGCTAATAATCCACATTATCTGCTTTGAACTGGATTATATGGGTTTACACTGCCATATAACCCAGTTCACAGCAGATAATTTGGATTTTATATGGCAGTGAGTTTCACCTTCATTTTGGGCACTGGACAAACAATTTATTCTGGATCCCTACTTCACACTGTTTATGACGGTTCATTTTTACTCAGTATGAATATGTTACATGCCTTTTTAGTCGCTTCAAGTTCTGCAACATAATGTTGAAGAATCCGTCCTATCGTATGTGCTATTTCATGCTGAAGACATGGCATGTTCAACTTCTGAAACCTAAAGAGACAAAGTTGAAATATATAGAACGGAACATACTCTGAATGAAAGGCTTTGCACTCCAACCTGAAATGAATGATTCCTATTTAAAGGTAAGGTAGGCTGATGAATGTGAACTCCAATATGTTTCAGAAGAAAAGAAACATTAGTCTGCCAGGGCAAAATCAACAAGATCTCTGACACGTTTGAAAAACAAATTGTGGCACGACCTTTTGTGTGCTATTGCATTTGTGAAATGGACTCCTCAGTAGATAAGTTCAAAGATATATTATGGCCAAACTACAGAGATTATTAGTAGCAAGAATATAATTTATATATGCTTTTTTTTTAAGGTAGCTATCAACTGTGAGGAGTCCATGCTCTATCAAGCCTGCAGAAGGGGGCAAGTTTAACTCTCATGTAATGGTCCTAACAAATCTTTCTAATGAAATGGTGATTTTATTGGGCAGGAAGTGTCTGTTTATGCCAACACAACTTCAGAGAGGAAACATTTTTTTCAGTTGCATGGTTTCCCATTGTTCTTCCACCATTCTATCCATATATTCTATCCATATACCCAAGTTTTGTTTGTCTAAGCTGGAAGCTTTTAAATTTTGTATTTGTTGTTGTGTACTCTCAAGTTACACCGGGAGCCCCCGGTGGTGCAGTGAGTTAAAGCACTGAGCTGCTGAGCTTGTTGATTGAAAGGTCGCAGGTTCGATTCCGGGGAGCGGCGTGAGCTTCCGCTGTCAGCCCTAGCTTCTGCCAACCTAGCAGTTCGAAAACATGCAAATGTGAGTAGATCAATAGGTACCGCTCCAGCGGGAAGGTAACAGCGCTCCATGCAGTCATGCCGGCCACATGACCTTGGAGGTGTCTACGGACAATGCTGGCTCTTCGGCTTAGAAATGGAGATGAGCACCACATCCCAGAGTCAGACATGACTGGACTTAATGTCAGGGGACTACCTTTACCCTTTACCTTTACCCTCAAGTTACTTTTGACTGACTCAAAGGTGAACCTATCACAGGGTTTTCAAAGTATATTTGCCTTGGTCTTTCTCTGTCAACCTCATCATACAGGGCTTGAACCAGAAGGTCATCCGTGGAGCTCACCAGCTCCCATCAAATGATGCATATGAACTTCTGGTAGGGCTCCATGGATGTCCTAGGGTAGAGCTGCTTTGTGTTGCCATAGAAAGCAATGGGAGGTAGCCACGTAGTTGATGCTTCCCCCCATGGGATCAGCTTCCTCAGGAGCCAGGTGATGCAGGACATGAGGCAGTGGGTTCCCCATGCCCCCAACAATGGGTTGCTGGATTTGCCACAATGCATGACAATTCCGGTGGCCATGTGATGAGGTTGTGTGTCTGAGAGGGAGTGATTTGAGTGTAACACTCAAACCATTACTCCACACTGGCTCTGAAATGTTGTAATAATTGTTATATTTTCTTTGAGCGGACTTATCTGAACTGTTTTACAAGGTTATGGCTTATACTTATATTGTTTATATTTTTGTCACAAAGAGAAGAAAACCTCAAAGTGTAAAGATAATTTTATTGTGCAAAACCCACAACAACGTTTGCAAAAAATTTCTGTATAAAAATGTGTTTGTGTGTGCATGCAGGGAGAGGGGGGCGTTCGCTCAAAATCCAAGTGTTTTGAATTGAGGATGGGAAAATAAGTGAGTATTTACCTAGCATATTCTGTTTAGCAATTATGCCTTCCAAATGCTACAACCTTCTAATTTAAAGTGTTTCCTAAAGTTGTTTGTCATACCTCTGAAGAAGCTGAAGAGCATGTTGTGAAGACAAGATTCTTCCAAAGCAAGTACTCATAAACGTCTGTATTTGAACCTAAAGAAAATATTAACATTTGATGAGAAATTCATGATGCAAGTATTTATAATACTTAGATTCTCTAATGCATGCTATGAAGCTATACAGTATGGGGTTAGGCAGTGCAACAGAGTCCCTTTTTACTGTGAGAAATAAAAGAGATCCCATACAAGATAGAAACAGACCAGGACTAGCAATATCACAAATAACTTTTCCACCTCAGAAAATGCTCCTCTCACAATAGCTGAAGAGGAGAAATGTGAAGAAACAACAAATGCTTGTGTCCAGGGAGAAAGCTGAAGAAAATTGCAGAGATATAAGCCTATGCAGAAGCCTATGACTTCATCACATACAAGTCCTTCCCCATTTCCACACAATTCTAAAAAGTTTTAGGAACTAATTGCCACAGAGTCCATCAAATGACATAAAACTACTTTGAAACACTGGTTTAATGGAAGGAAGGAAGATACGGGAGGAAGCAATCATGACAAACTCTAGTATAATGGAGGGAAAGAAGACTAGGTTGAAAGGGATTGTGGCAAAATGGTTTATAATAACTGATCTAATGGAGAGAAGGAAAGACTGGGAGGAGGAGTTTAAAATTACCCTGCCCCCTCAAATAGGATGAGGTCCATAGTAATCTTGACTTTGGATACTGGTGTGATGGTGCAGAATGCGGCACAGGATGGGAGAAAGTCAGAGAACATAAAGCATCTGATGGGATTTGTAAAATGAAACAATGTCTTTTAAAATGGAAAGTGATAATACACTTTACTATGAAGACAATCCCCCACCCCCCACCCCCCCACCCCCGACACTTTCTACAATGCATGTGATGAAGTCCCTAGAAAAGTCAGCAAACCAACCATAACGGAAGATAGTAGGGTACACATGCTACTAAAATTTCATGTTATCCATACTGAGGGCAACTATTAATTCTACCTTATAATCACTTGAACATATTTTTTTATTTTAAGAAGCAGTTTTAAAAAATTTAAAGACAAATGCAACATCAAATATGTTAGAAGTGGCATTTTCAAGATTTCACCTTAAATTATAAATATGTGTGTTTCTTACCTCTAAATTTTCTATTTTTGCCATGAAATCTGAAAAATCTACATCAAATTCTGATTTTCGTGGATCAAGAATATCATACTTTTTCTTTTGGACACTTTGGTAGACATTTTTGAACTTAATTGCCATAATGTCAATCCCTTCAATAGTAGACATATTCAGCGCAGAAAAAGTCTGAATTATTGTAGTCATCTCTGTTATCTAAAATTTCAGGGGAAAATTGTTTTGCTTCAACATAGCAATTTTTGCTTTAATCACACAATGAAAGTTTCCTTGACATCCATTATCCATAACCCCTTACATTCATTGAACTGAGGCAGTAGATCTTTGTGTCACTGAAGGAGTGGGGGGGGGGGAGTTGCATTATACAGTTACAGGTAGTCAAGGTACTTTACCCCCTTAACAGAAAATTTGAGACCAAAAGCATACATTGCAGTGAAATATGTGAATAGGTTCCCACCCCACAAAGAAATCAGTTCAACATATTTCAGCAAACTCTTTGTCCAAAACGAACAGTATATGCATATGAAATGAAACCAACAGATCAGGTCAGGCTGCTTAAGTAAACAAAATGCACACATGCTACTTTATATGTTTATTAGAATAATTAACAAGCAGAAGTTAGATAAATTATGGATAAAGAGTATTATCCATAATTCACACAATAATTTCAAACAGTTTGGCCAGAAGGCCTGCCCCACAGTTCTTAAAGATCCTCCAAATGTGATGGTGCATAATTAGAGTAACAAAAAAACTATGCACAAACCTGGTGGTGGTGGGGAGGGGGATCATCAGATATGATTAGTATATTTTATGTAGGGCCAAAGATCATTTTTCTTCTTCCAGTCTAGCCCAGGGAAGCCCAAAGGTTGGACACCCCTACCCTATATTCCAGGATCTGATCCCAGATATGAGTAACAGTTTCCAGTCATTTTCTCCCATATCATCTCAGTACCACAGATAGACTATACAGACAGTCCCCAAGTTACACACATCTGACTTACAAATGACTCATAGTTAAGAATGGGGGTGAAACAACAGGAAGTGAGAGAAATCTACCCATAGGAAGGGAAATTCAATCTTGAAAAATTGTCATGGGGGAAAAGTCTCCACTGAAGCTTTATCGCCAGCCCTTGTTTCCACAACAAGCCAAATTTTTCAAAATCAAATTATCACAGGGACAGAAAATGAGGTGAAACCTTCAGAACAGAGGCATAGACAGAAAAACAAATACCACAGAGGTGTAAACCCTTCCCTATGCTATCCATAGATAGAGAGATAGATAGATATGCCTGGTGTTGCACTTAAAAATGTACCTGTCCTGACTTACAAACAAATTTAACTCAAAGAACAAACCTAGAGGACGTATCTTGTTTGTAACTTGGGGACATCGCCCAAGTTCACCTTCCCCTTCTTGATTTTTGTGGAACCTTGACCTGAAGAAGGGACCTGAAGGATTTTGAAAGAATGCCAATTTCTGAAACTTTTTTATTAGCCTATTCTATATATACAGATACAGATATTACAGATTTGAAAACTTGCAGTTTAATTATCCTCCCATTAACAGGATGGTTCAAGTTGTCTCAGAATCACACTTACTTTTTCAAGTCTTTTACAGAAAGCCTCAAATTTGCCAAATATATACATCTCAGATACTTCAAATGTCTTCTCTCCTAAAGTCTCCAATATTTGTTTTCTTGTTTTGTGAAAACTTTTTTGATATTCTTTAAACAAAAAAATACAATCCTAAAGTTGAAAGAAAAAATGGAATTATTAAACAGGCTGCCTTGGGAACCAGCCAGCAATTTCAGTCTTTTGAGTCAGCAGACTATAGATCCATTAAATCTACTGACTATAGCAATTATTGTTAGAACCCAAACCAAAAGAAAATCCTCTATTTATTGTGTGAGTAGCCTTCCAAATTAGATTTCTTTGCAGTTTTAAGTTTAAAATTAATAGTTCATATAGTTTAATGCAAATATACCTAATTTTGTTTTTGTTCACATGAAACAATGAGATATGTGAAATAAAGTTTCTCAGCTTAAATAAAGCCCTGTGCCTTCCAACTGTCATAACTTAGCAGGGGCATTTCAGATTCATCCTCCATCATTCCACTTTCACAGCTACTTTTCTCCTACTTTCCCTGATTGATCCTTGCCCTACCTCCATTTCTGCAAACTGAGTTTAAAGCCTAAATGTAATTTAGACGCAATTAACTCAGGGCGCTTCCAGACTTCACTTGAACATGTGCCAAATCGGGTTTAAGAACCCTCTTCAGTGCATGTTTAAGTTCTCACACCTCCCCCTAAAACCCATGCTTTCCAGGGGGTCATCTAGATGCTCTCCCAGTAACTTCCCAGTAACACCCAGAAGCCCCCCGCCCAATAAGCCCTTAAAAATTAAAACAACCTACCCGGCTGCCATTAAAGTACTGTTGAAGCCCTCAGTGCATAGAAATGACATGCCAGGAAGGGGGGGGGGGAGCAAGGAGCTCCCTACTTCCCCCCTCCTCCTGGCACATCATATCTATGTGTCAAGAGGACTCAGGCAGTACTCAATTGTTTCAATTTTTAAGGGTCTCATGTTAAAGGCCTGTATGGATGGGCCCTTCGTGGGAGTTTGGTAAGCCAGAAGAATTTTTCCCCTCCCAGCAGGCTTAGGGGAAAAATCTTTCTGGAATAGTATGTGTTCTTCCCCATTAATAAATTTTGTCATCCTGACTACATCTGTTGCTTTGTCACCAATGTCATCTATGACGTGTTAGAAGGCATAAAGGCCTACATTCTGCTGGGACACAACAATCATGCAACTACTACAGTCGACACTCCACATTTGCAGGTTTGATTATTCCCAGGGTTTATTAATATGGTCTCCTAAGGAATCTCTATGGCCCCACCTACACTGCCATACAACAGTTTCATAATGCTGTTTAACTGTATTGAACCACATTATGTGGCCGTGTACTCATATAGCGCAGTTTAATGCAGTTAAACTGCAGTATGAAGCTGCATTATATGGCAATTAGGCCTAGGTCCTCTAGTGTGTCTCAGTGGCCAACATCTGGCAGACACTGACTACAATAGAAGACCCAGGGTCCTTCCACACAGCCCTATATCCCAGAATATCAAGGAAGGAAATCCCACATTATTTGAGTGTGGACTCAGATAACGCAGTTGAAAGCAGATATTGTGGGATTTTCTGCCTTGATATTCTGGGATATAGGGCTGTGTGGAATGAAGAGTTGATAAATTTAGGTAAAAAATATAATCTGTCTAATATTTAATTATATTTGATTGTGCTATTTTTCAGTGTTTCACCAATTTTAACAGAGGTCCTGTGCCCTAATTCAAGAACATTCAAAATGGTGACTGCAGTTATGTAAGCAACGCGACAATTTCCTTGCTCACAAAAGGAAGAATCTTGTACTTCCATGCATTATCCATTTCTAGACGTTTTTCAGAGGTTTGAGGACACAATGGGCTTGGCTGACACATCTCTCATGAGCCACTGCTGCATACTGTGCCAGCTAGCTGCCTCTCCCTTCCCTCTCCATCTAACCTCACACAACTCTGCCAAGTCACTGATAAACATACTCGTGCTAGCTAAGAGCAAATGCTAACAGGATGTTTGCTGTTTTGCAACAATCCACAATTAATTTCTTTTAACTTTCTGATGTTATGACCAAACCACAAAGCACTCTGCTAGGGTGAACCCCTTGAGGCTTAATTATGCAGCAAACACTAATAAGAAATAACAGAGGGCTTTGCAGAGTCATGCAAGTTAATTTTTACATATTTCATTAACAGACCTAATGAGAACTCACAGTAATAAAGTATCTAGTTTGGACACCAAAGCCTTGTTTATCAGCAATAATGCATTCATGTTAATGCATATGCTACCCCTTTGGGGAAAACAATAGAAGGGAACAGATGCAATGTCAAGGAAAGTATAATATGCTTCACACCAACCTGGATCTTCTTAAGCACTGTTGGAGTATCCTGTTCCCAAACACGACTAAAACCTCCATCGGTAATATACGCCTTACACGCTGTTACCATTTGATTTGTAACCTATTGAGTGCAAACAAAATGCAACACAAAACAAATTGTGTCAATAAATTGTCAAAGGCTTTCGTGGCCGGAATCACTGGGTTGTTGTAGGTTTTTGGGGCTATATGGCCATGTTCTAGAAGTATTCTCTCCTGATGTTTCACCTGCATCTATGGCAGGAATCTTCAGAGGTTGTGACCTTACAACCTCAGGGTGCCTGCCATAGATGCAGATGAAACGTCAGGAGAGAATGATTCTAGAACATGGCCATACAGCCCGAAAAAACCTACAACCCTGTGTCAATAAAGTTAAACAGGAAGCATTCATCCAGTATCTGTCCAGTATATTTCATGATATCTTACCACACCTTCCAATCTCTTTCTTTTGCCTCCTCCTTTACGCGTTGGCTTAAAATGCTTACAAAATTTTGAAAACTCTGATTACTTCAATATTAAATAATTAATAGATGTGAAAATACAGATTTTTATCAAAATGAACAAAATTCAATATACCAACATCAGTAAAGACATTGGTAGACTCCAAACAGCACAAGAAAGGATTTCCTACTGTGCCCTGTGAAATATCAAGATCTTTCTGCATTGCCAGAAAAGTATTTCCCTGAGAAGATGCATGGTTGTGGTGTATATTAACAAGACCAGACAAGGCTCCCAAGAGGACACAAAGATAATCATTATTAGTACCAACAACGTTGAAGTTCCTGCTACATTATCTATGTGGAAAGTCATGTAAAATGAAAAACTAATCCATCACCGAAGCTGTGTGAGTGTACTGTTAAATGTGCAAACACTGAAGCCTGGACTGTTATGTTTCAAACCCAAGAAGGATTTTGGTGCTACAAAATTCTGGAATCTGCATTTTATAATATTTGCATGCCTTTGAAACTGCACACATATACGCCTTTTAAAAGAAAATCAAAGTACTTACTTTTATAAACAGCGAAGTCATTCTCTCAGAAGTGTTATAATATCTGGAAACACTATGGATCATTCTTATCGCATTAATTAAGTTCTGGATTCCATGAGCCATGGACACCTAAGATAAATATATTGTAGGATAAGATAAATTAATAATGAGAATCTGTTATGTACTTAAAACTACTAGGTGAGAGGCTTCCTTTTCTTGTTTTGTGAGCAGGTCTAATGACTATAGTGAGAAATGCCAGAGCAAGGTATACATTCCTGCATATACAGTGTTCCTTAACCTATCACAGGTGTTACATTCCAGGACCACCCACGATAAGTGAAAATCCGCAAAGTAGGGACACTATATACAGAACTGCTTCCACCTTTGCAGCCCTCCCTCGCTCACCCACCCATCCTCTCTTGCTCACTTGCTACTCACCGGACCAAGTCCTGGTTCTGCCGCTGGGACCCAACCTGGTGAGTAGCGAGCGAGAGAGGGAGGACAGGTGGGTGAGCGAGCGAGGGAGGGAGGGAGGGCCGCAAAGGTGGAAGCAGTGGCAGAAGCCAGAGCCTGGAAGAGATGGCCAGGCTCCTGCTTCTGCCACCGCTGCTGCCCTTGCCACCCTGGCTCACTCACTCACCCGCCCCCCTTGCTTGCTCATTCACCAGGCCAGGTTCTGAAAAACCACAAAACAGCGACTCTGCAAAAAGCGAACCGCGAAGTAGCATGAGGGAACACTGTATAAGATGTTTACCTGGGATGCTTTACACTACATACCTATAGGGCTATATTCTCATTTAGTTTATTGTGAATTGCACCTACAGCTTATAATGCATTGCTACATTGCCAACCCTTTGTAAATGATAGTGTCTTTAGCTTTACATATTTGGCGCTTGAAATTCCACGCTATTCTTTTGGCATTTGACATTTTGCCAGAATAGCTATGCAGAAGGAAGAGAAAGGAGTACACAGAAGAAGTTGTGAAGATGGAAGAGAATTGAGCATGGAAAAGTAATGGTTGTACACAGCATCCTCCTGGAAGTTAGGCAATGGATTCAAGTTGCAGGAAAAGAGATGACACCTAAACATTAGGAAGAACTTCCTGACCATAAGAGCTGTTCAACAGTGGAAGATGCTATCTCCTCAGAGTGTGGTGGAGTCGCCTTCTCTGAAGGTTTTTGAGCAGAGGCTGGATGGCCATCTGTCAGGAATGCTTTGATTGTCTTTTCCTGAATGGCAGGGGATTTGACTGAATGGCCCTTGTAGATTCTTCTAATTCTACGATTCTGTATTGTTTATATTCTATATTGTTATATCCCAGCATCTTTTTCTTGTCTGTCGGGTTTCAACAACTTATTTAAAAATTCATCTGTTCACACAAAGAGAGACAATTTCCCAAGCCACCCCTTCCACCACAGCACTCTAAATGCATTTAAAGGCAGGCATTCAACGGTCAACTGAAACTGTGGAGAACTGTGTCTGTTTGCCTCACCTCTCACTACCTTGCTCAACCACATCTTCTGGTTGTGTAACCTTGAGTATGTCCTTCACAAATGCTAATCATTAACTATTCACATTTGCTGCATGGACATTGGGCAGTTTACCCCTGTAAGATCCTGGTGCAGATATTTTTGGAATAAAAGAGTACTGGCAGACTATTCTTAAGTATGGTCAGGTTTAAAATACACGTTTGAAAGATATTTGTTTAATGTACCATAATGTAAAAGTAACTTGATAAATATATATTAAAATGTACTTACTAGATCATAATTATAGAGTGGCTGGCAAACTTTTTCAAGTGTGTATAAGTATCTCACATTATCTTTTGATTCATTTGCTGCATCTGTTATTCTGGCATCCAGTTCACGCCACAACTAGAGTAAAAATGTGTTTAACATATTAGTAAAAATGTTAGTAAAAGATATAAAATTTAAAGAGCAGCAATTTAATTATATGCAAATAGCAAGTTAATTATAATACATTTTATATTAATGAAGTAATAAAAGTTACTTTTGCTCTATAAAGTGAGCTATTTAAAAAATATTTCTGAAAATTTCCTTCTGAAGATATGGTGAAAACATTTTAATAGGTTCAAAATGTCTGGAAAGTTACATCTCTACATGTATAATGTAGAGACGTATGTGGCACCACTGACAGAGGATAATTCCATGGAGACCATGCTAATTAGCAAAATTAAGTGGAAACATAATTTAAATCAGAAAAATTAAAAATGAGAATTACCTTTATGATTTTGGATCGTGAAACATTTAAAACATTTATGACAGCCTTGCAGTTTGGTCCTTTGATCTGTTCTATAATGTAATTAAATTTAGCAGACATACGCTTCCAGTGTTCTAGTTCAGTGAGAGGACCTGAGTCATCAGCTTCCTTTCTCATCTGTTCACTTTCAATCAAAACCTATAAATGGCACAAAATAATGTTAAATTTATACAATAAAATGCATACTTACTATTAATGCTTAATTTTATCTGCACTCAAATTCAAATATCCGTCACTTGCAGTGGATGCCCACTTGGACCACTTGCCCACAGAATCCTGGGTCACAAGAGGTGAAGTCATGGAGTCACTTGAAGCAGGGACAACCACCTCTTGTTTTCTACTTAAGTTTCTTCTTTTCAAGATTGAATTACCCCTTGTATCCCTCTAGTAGTTGGGAGTGGTGTGTCTCAATTGTCCAAAGATTAGGACCACCCCTGATTTAGGGGAAGAAGAAATGGAACAGGTGGTGATTTATTAATGCATATGGAAGTCATCTGGATTCAACGCTTACAACTTAATTTATGTGCTATAGGTTGAATATTCATTATCCAAAATGCTTGGGACCAGATGTATTCCAAATTTCAGATTTCTCTCTCCCCCCCCCCCCCCCCCCCCCCCATCTCCAATTTTGGAATACTTCTATATGTATTTGGAGATGGGGCCCAAGGCTAAACATGAAATTTATCTATGTTTCATATATACTTTCTACACTGACCCTGAAGATAATTTTATATGCAATATTTGTGTGAATATTCAACCTTCAGAAATCAAAGGTATCATTATCTTAGGCTGAATCTACACTGCCATATAATACAGTTTCAGAATGCAGATGAATTATAATGAACTAGACTATATTAGTCTACACTTCCATATAATCCAGTTCAATGCAGTTAATCTGAGTGTAATTGCAGCCTCAGGGAACTTCTACATTGGGCTTAAACCTACTTTGGAGCAAGTTAAAAAACCCCACTTCAAAGTGGGTTTAAGTCCCCATGCACTTCCCAAAGACCTAGGCTTTCCCGGTAACTACCATGCTGGAATGGGGCCTCCTGGCATGTTATTTCTATTTTTAAGCCTTTAAGGGGAGGGGGTATTGGGAAAGGGGTGGATGCCATCTCACATCTTTGGGCTCCAAAATGTGCAAGATGGGTGTGGGGACTGACCTCTGAGGAGCTGCGAGACTACCCGTGACTCAATCCCCACAGGGCCCACACCCAATTACTAAGGCCCGGATTTAATGGAGTATCAAATTAATTTGGGTTTTCCTGCTTTGTCCTTGTACAGAAGTTGATTGTAAATGATATGATTATAACTGTATTTGTGTTTGCACTGGTTGCCCTAATGCTGGAGCGGCCTAGCTGTGAGGAGTGTGTTACCATGGAAACGATGCTGTAGAGAAGTGGGAGGAGCTTAGAGAGGAGAGTTTTGAAAAGCGACAGTTAAAGTCAGTTAGGTTTTAGGTTCCGAGGAGTGAACAGTTAGTCAGGGTTTAGGCTCAGAGGAATGAAGAGTCAGGTTTTAGGCTCAGGGAAATGAAGTGTTGAGAGAGAGAGAGTGGGAAGTAGAGAAGCAGTGTTTGTGAATAGTCAGGTTTCTTCAGTTTAGGAAGCAAGTGCAACAAGGAAAAGTTACATCTTGCAACCACACGCTGTGTACTTAATAAAATTGTTAACTTTTATTTAAAGATTGCCTCAGCTCCGTCTATTCTGAGTCCAAAGTGCAATTTCTCACAATATTACAACTTACCTCACGTGGTGGCAGAAACGTAGGGAAAAGTAACCAAATAAATCTACATTCTTCTCTCCAGTCACGCTACAGTATATACAGTGTAATTATTACTAAGTTATTACTTTCTTAATAAAGGAGGAGGTGCAATTGAACAGCCTCCCTTCTAACTTGATGGTAAATTTGGTTCCTAATCGGCAACCTCCATTGCAAGTCGGCTAAGTCTTTTTAAAATTGGGAACTGGGGAAAAATCTCCTGAATACTGGTTCCTTTCAAATTGGTGGCAACAATAAATCATCCCCCAGCTCCCCTGCTTCTTTTCAAATTGGTGGCAGACGACGGGATACGATTAACAACTGATTGAGTGCCTTAAGACTACTTTGAGAATAATTTGTGAGGTAAAAGTTATTGAAATATGGCTACCAGATGACAGAAAAAACTTGTTGAGGAAACAATGGGAGACCAAGAAGGAAGTTTGGGCTCTGAAGCAGAAACAGAGCCAGTGTCTGTGTCAGAAATGGCACAGACTAGAGATGAAACGATTGGAAATAGAGGCAAAACAAAGGGAAAGAGAGTTTGAGGAAAGACAAAAAGAGAGAGAACAGGAGATAGAATTGAGGAGAATGGAAATTGAACTGCAAAAGCAAAAAATTAGCCCACCACCCCCCCTCACTTCCTCTGAGGATGCTTGCCATAGATGCAGGCGAAACGTCAGGAGAAATGCCTCTAGAACATGGCCCTATAGCTCGAAAAAACCTACAAGAACCTAGTATTTCCTAAATTTACTAAGGATGACGATATAGAGAAGTTTCTAACCTTGTTTGAGCGATGTTGTAAAGATTTTGGAGTTGCTGAGGAAAAATGGATGACGTACTTAAGGCCTCAAATAAGTGGAAAGCTCTTAGAAATATATGGAGAAATGCCTGAGGAGTCCTATGGGGATTATGATTTATTTAAGAGACAGGTTCAACAGAAATTTCAATTAACACCTGAATTTTACAGATTCAAGTTCAGGACTCTGAAAAGAGATAAGAACCAAAGTTTCGCTCAGGTGGCCTCTAGATTGTCTCAACTGTTCGATAGTTGGCTAAGGACGTCTGAGGTGGAAAATTACCAACAACTGAGAGAACTTTTAAAATTGGAACAATTTTTCCAATTGATACCTTCCGATTTTCGGTGGCTGGTACAGGATCGAAAGCCATCCACTGTAGTAGAGGCAGCGGTTATGGTAGATCAATTAATTACCCTAAAAGAAGGATTCAAAAGGGAAGATCTGCCAAATGATAAAAGGACAAACAGGCAGCCATTTTACCAACATCAAACGCGCCCACAACAAGGAAAAGGTCCTGCAATAGAAAACCCCTCCTGGAGGAGGCAGAGTGTAACAAGTCAAACTGCTCCTGAGGGAAAAATTAGGTGTTTTCAGTGTGGAAAGTGGGATCATATAAGGTATCAATGTCCCCTTTTAAGAAAAGAAAAGACAACCCTCTTCGTTAATAAAGTAAAAGAAACAAAGAAAACAGAACCAAATACTGTGTCAAAGGAGAGTTCGGAAACGGTGCCTCAAGAGAAACAATGTTTGTTCATTTTGTCAAACACCGCAACTGAGGATTACTTAGAATCCATTTCCATTGACAACAAAGACATGAGAGGGTGGCGGGACACAGGATCTGATGTGTGTATTATACATCCAGATATAATACCTCAGAAATTTCAGCATCCTACCTCTGAAATAAGATTAAAAGGCTTGGGACCTGCAATACCAACAGCAGTAGTGTCTTTGCCAATAGAATATGGAGGTTGGAAGGGTATGTGGGATTTTGCAGTCAGTCCAGACATACCATACAGGTGTTTAATTGGAAATGATCTGGCTAAAAAGATTGGAAAGTGGAGAATGATGTGTGAGGAGGAAGAATATAACAGCAAAAGCCCTGATCAAAAAGCCATGTGTTTCGCCATACAACAGGAGGGGGATGAGAATCCAGAATCCAGCACTATGGTTGCTGAGCTTATTAAGAAGACAGGAGGAGTCAGAGAAATTCAACAGGAACAAAGAGCAGATGAATTTCTAAAACCTTTGTTCGCTTTGGCTCAAAACCTCACAGTATCAGCAAAAGGGCAGCCCTCCAAGTTTGTGTTAAAGAATGGTGTCTTGTATAGAGAAACCAGAAACATGAAGTCAACAGAAGGATCAATGACATGTAATCAGATTGTAGTGCCTCAAAGTTTTAGAGAACAGCTGATGAGGGCGACACACGAGAACCCTCACGGTGGTCATCTGGGCGTGAGGAAAACCACAAAGAGGATCACTAAAAACTTTTATTGGCCTGGCATGTTCCAGAAGATCAAAGAGTTTTGCCAGTCTTGTGATATCTGCCAAAGATTGAGTACTGGAAGGGATAAAATTAAAGCTCCTATGATCCCTATGCCGGTAATTGCAGAACCATTTTACAGAGTGGGCATTGACATAGTTGGTCCTCTTTGTAAGCCAAGCAGACGTGGTTACAGATACATTCTAACCATGATTGACTACGCCACAAGATATCCAGAGGCTGTAGCTCTAACTAACATTGAGACAACAACGATTGCAAATGCACTGTTATCCATTTGGGGAAGAACTGGTTATCCTAGAGAATTGGTTTCTGATTTGGGAACTCAATTTACTTCCAGACTTATGTCAAAATTGCTTGAGTTATGTGGAATCAGACACCTGACTTCAACAGCTTATCACCCACAGACAAATGGACTAGTTGAAAATCTGAACAAGACTTTAGTCAAAATGATAAAGTCTTACAGTCAAAAGAAGCCATACGACTGGGACGTCAAAGTACAACAACTGTTATTCACCTACAGGACCGTCCCTCATGACAGTACTGGCTACAGTCCGCTTGAATTGCTATATGGAAGGAAAGCTCATGGTCCATTAGACCTGATAAAGGAATACTAGGAGGAAAATCCAGCAACAGATCCAGTTCCAGTGTCGGAGTACCTAAAGGATCTTCAATCAACAATGCAACTGGCTAGGGACATTGCACAAGAACATTTGCTTGCAGCTCAGCAAAGACAAAAAGACTATTATGATTCTACTGCTAAGCCAAAGATCTTCAACATCGGAGATGAAGTTTTGTTTTTATCTCCCAACAAAACCAACAAACTGCAATTAGATTGGTCGGGACCCTGGAAGATCACCAGGAAACACAATCAAATAAACTATGATATTTATGATGAACATTCAAATGTGGAAAGAAGAGTTCATGTAAACATGTTAAAGCCTTATGTTAGAAGGTCTGCTAATGTTTATTTTGTTGTTTCGGAAGAAGAATCCGGTCCCTTTTCTTTTTGGGAGGGTGATCGTGAACAATACAAAAATTTGGATCGGGTAGAAATAAACAGTGAATTGTCCCAACCACAGCGAAGAGAGGTTGTGGAAATTTTGAGTAAATATAAAGATATATTTTCAGATTTACCAGGAAAGGTCCAGGGAGTCCAGCATCAAATAAACACCGGTGATGTAGCTCCTATAGTATGTCCACCCTACAGGGTCACAGGGAGACCCAATGAATGTATTGAAAGGGAGATTAAAGAAATGTTGGACCTAGGTATCATTGTTCCATCGATTAGCTCTTGGGCTTCACCCATAGTATTAGTACAGAAGCCAGACAAGACAATTAGATTTTGTGTAGATTATAGGCAATTAAACAAGGTAACCCAAACAGATACTTATCCTATGCCATGTTTGAATGATTTGCTGGAAAGGATGGGGAAGGCCAATTTTATTAGTAGTATAGATCTAACCAAAGGATTTTGGCAAGTGCCCATGGCACCACAGGATCAACATAAAACCGCCTTCCGGACCCAAAATCGGCTATTTGAATTTTCCGTACTTCCATTTGGGTTAAAGAACAGCCCAGCCACATTTCAGAGATTAGTGGACAGAGTTTTAAGTGGGCTGGGGTCTTTCTGCGTGGCCTATATCGATGATATAGGGATTTTCAGTGATTCATGGGAAGCTCACCTTGAACATTTGGATCTGGTATTAAGTAGGTTGAGGGAAGCAGGGTTAACTATTAAAGCTTCCAAGTGCAAGTTAGGATACAATACTACCAAGTATTTAGGACATTTAGTGGGAGGAGGTTGTATTTGACCTGACCCTACTAAAGTGGCAGTTATTCACCAGTGGCCTGTGCCCAAAACAAAAAAACAGGTTAGGGCACTCCTTGGATTGGCTGGATACTATCGTAAATTCATTCCATCTTTTAGTGATTTGGCAGCCCCTCTTTCGGATCTTACCAAAAAGAAGAACCCGAATCAGGTAATTTGGACTCCAAATTGTCAAACTGCCATGGATCAATTGAAGAAAGCCATTACTTCGGATTCGGTCCTAATTGCGCCAGATTTTGATAAACCTTTTATTCTAACATGTGATGCATCGGATACTGGGCTAGGAGCTGTCCTAAGCCAGTTAGATGTAGAGGGTGAGGACAGACCTATTTTGTTTTTGAGTAAAAAATGGCATTCCAATGAATATAACATGTCAATGATTGAAAAAGAATGCTATGCCATCATATGGTCAGTAAAAAAATTAAAGCCATATTTGTGGGGGAGAAAGTTTACCTTACAAACGGACCATGCTCCATTAAGATGGCTAGATAATGTAAAAGGTACGAATAACAAATTATTGAGATGGAGTTTATGTTTACAGGATTTTACATTTGAAATTAAACATGCTTCAGGTAAACGAAACATAGTCGCAGACGCCTTATCTAGAATTTCGTATGGTAAAAGGTTTGTATATATGCATTATAATATATTTAACCATATTGTGATTGCCTTTCAGAAATATTGTGTATTTAGATATTGTTGGATAATTTGTGGAATTATTTTTGCCCATTCCGGGAGTGAGAATGGCCCAAAAATAATTTTTCTGTGGGGGAAGGTGTACAGGAGTTGATTATAAATTGTATGATTTTAACTGTATTTGTGTTTAGATTGGCTGCAGTAATGCTGGAGCGGCCTAAGTCAGAGGAGTCCTCCATGGGCGTTGCCATGGAGACCGATGCTGGAGAGAGGGAAGTGGGAGGAGCTTAGCGGGGAGAGTTTGAACAAACGACAGTTAAAAATCAGTTAGGGTTTAGGTTTAGGGGAGTGAGCAGTCAGGAGTTAGGTTTAGAGGAGTGAGGAGTTAGGAGTTGGGAGAGAAGGAAAGGAAAGGTGGGAGAGAAGGAAAGGAAAGAAAACAGTGTGCTGTTTCCCCCCGAGTATTACAGGTTCCACACATATGTGTCAGTTACAACTCTTTTTTTCGCCCCTCCCCTCCATTTCCACAGTTGACATTTCACCTCTCTTGCCTTAGGTTTGTTTCTTTGGAAAGCAATACCTGTCGCAAGGTGGGGCATTCGCAACAGTTAGTTGCAAACCCCCGTTAGGTAATCTTGATTGTGTCTGATGGAAACGTCTTGGGTAAACAGCATCTTGTGTACAGGGCCACTTGCTCAAGAGGCCAAATGTTACATTACCCTTTTGCACATGGGGTGTTTTGGAAATTTAACAAAAAAACAACCTTATCAGATAATGTTAGGTCAACCCACAGATTGAGTCAATACTGAAAAACTATTCTGATTTCTGGGTTGTTGGGAGCTTTCTGGGCTGTATGGCCATGTTCCAGAAGCATTCTCTCCTGACATTTCGCCCACATCTATGTGACAACTTCACAACCTCTGAAGATACCTGCCATAGATGTGGGTGAGACGTCAGGAGATAATGCTTCTGGAACGTGGCCATACAGCCCAGAAAACTCCCAGCAACCCAGTGATTCCAGCCATGAAAGCCTTCAACAACCCAGATTCTGATTGTGAAGCAAAACTTTGAGGCTTTGAAAAGCTGGGTTTGGCTATTGGAAGTTTCTCAGGCTAGTGCAGCCGTAATAAAGTGCTTCACCACAGCAAAAGTTATTTATAAGTTGTAACATCAGAAGTCTGTACTGTATCGCAACCAAGTTATATGTAACGTTCTCCAAGTATCTTCCAAGTTTATCACCAAACTGCAACCATACGCTTTGTTTCAAAATAAACTTGTTCTCTTTGATTTTAAGACTGCCTCATCTCCATTAATTCGGCGTTCAGTGTGCCCAATCTCTCAAAATTACCTCACATCACAAATTGGTGGCTCCATTAAGAATAATAAATAATAAATCGTAACTTCTCTCTCCTAAAACCCCTTTTCTTTGAAGTGGGGCAACCCCTTCGCAGTCCTAAATTAATTTTCTTTTATCTGAGGTATCCTTTGGATGTCACAGATAAAAGTCCAACAGGGCCCTCATTTTGGGCCTTGTATGGAAGGGCCTCCTGCCAACCACGTGGACAATGTTGAATTTTGGAATGTTGAGTATTTTGGAATTCCAGATAAGATATTCTTCACTGTACTGATTAATGAGAATTCAATAATTTTACTATCCATTTATTGTTATACTCTTTGATACTGTATAAATTGTCTACTAAACAAAATACAGAGGTTTTAATCCTATGAAAATGTTTAGACAACCAGAAAGGAAACAGGCATGTATGAAACTTTACTTCAGGTTTGAACTATTAGAGTGCTAAATATAAAAATCTAAGCCCCATTTTGAGGAGCAGCTGCAATAGGGCACTCCCAAGGCAGGCCCGTAGCCAGGATTTCGATTCGGGGGGGGGGCTGATTTTGTTTCGGGGGGGGGGGGGGGCTGAGTCTGAGTGAAAGAGGGTCTACCCTAGCAAACCTTTTGTATCATTACCCCAATACCCCCATGCATATGGGATATATTGAGTATGGTGATCAGATCATGATATGAATAAACATAACAGTTTAAATAATGCACCAGTAAGGCATTTTTGCGAACCACCATGAGAATTTCGGACGGGAGGCTGAAGCCCCCAAAGCCCCCCCCCCCCCCCCGGCTACATGCCTGTCCCAAGGGAAGTTCCAGACTATTATTGAAGATGTTTTGTTTGCAAGGTTTCTCACATTCTGCAAAAAAAAGTGGTTGCACAAAATAAAGATAAAATATCATGTGTCATGGTTTAATCAAGAATAGCATAAATAGTAGCAGTGGTTAGATCTAAATAATAATGCATTTTAAATGGCCAGTAGAAATTGAAATTTTCTGCCTCTTTGTCCAACAACACCCTGGTGTTTATGTGGCACCATTTTTATTATAACGCACTTAGTTCCTTGTACCACATCAAACTTACTTGTTCAATTTGCTTATACCATATCATAAGCACATCCTCTAACTGATGAACCATATCAGGATTGCCAGCTGCTGCCGTCACCTCTTCAAAAGTTTGGAGTTTAGAAAAGTCAATGTAGTCTATTTGTTTCAACTCAACTGTCCCTTCAATGCTCACTCTAGCACCTAAAATAAACACAGAGCAAAGATACTTTACACACTAGTTCAGATGGCCTGTATTCTGCTGCATCCTTTACACCTATTTCCAGAAAAAAGTAGTGCAGCAATCAGCAGTTGTTACTCAAAGAGCCCTTTTCCAAACATTTTACCTCTGCAGCCAATATACTTGAGGTAGTTTCAATATTTCTCAGAGATGCCTTTAAGAATCTGAGTTTTCCAAACATTTCATGTTAGACATGCATCATTACACAGTAATTCAGTTTTACTAGAAAACTGGAAGTGAAGATATGGACACTTACATACATTGTAATACTGAAATGTATGGGGACACAATTTCCTCATGAAAACCTTTCCTTTTTAAAAAAAATATATTATGTATGGCTTATTTCACATACAACCTCATCAGATGGGGAAAGTGTCTCCCTTGCAGGGAGGCCCTGTGCTCACTCTATTGGAGCCAACACAACATGGGAATTTTCCCATGTTGGGGTGAAAGCATCAGGTAACGCTTTCATCCCAGTTGGGCGCAGGGCCTATATCAGAAGTCACACAACATTGTGTGATGTCCTGAGTGGGCCTCCGTCCTCCAGACTGGGTGAAAGCATCCCAGGACGCTGATTTCACCCTGTCTGATTAGGTTGATAGACTCATTACATTTGTACAACACATTGCAGCCAACACACTAACTCACTGTGACTCAGAGTTTTGAAAGCTCTTTTCTAGATGATCCAATATTAATGAAAATTTAAATTCTAAAGGGATGGAAATAGCACAGTTCTTAACTAATAGAGAACTCTAATCCTCCCAAATAGCATCTTTGATAGTTCCTTTCAAGTCTGAATTAAACTTGTAACACATTAAATACCTCAATAATATAGAAGCCACCATCTATAACTGTTCAAGTCTTGTTTTCTTCCCCCTCTCTCTTAATTCTCCCTTTCTCTCCACATTCATCCATGTGCAGCAAATCTGCTCTTAAAACACAATTTATTTATTTATTTACTTTATTTATACCCTGCCCTTCTCCACCCCGTAGAGGACTCAAGGCGGCTTATATATATAGGCAACAATTAGATACCAAAAACACACGTATAATAATAACATAAGCATTAAAACAATCATTGAAACATAATAAAACTGTTAAAACCAATTTTAAATCATGCAATAAAGACAGTTGCTGGATCCTAGACATGGAGGGACTCCCTTTCTCTTGTTATCAAATCAAAATTCTTTAGAAAAAGTAACAACCTTAAAGGAATAAACCATACAAATTGCTAATAAGAGAGAGAGGAAACCATGTGAAAAACTGCTTGGAAATGCCAGTTGCTATAAAGTTTAGGACACATTTTTCCAATTAAGAAAAAAAAAGGTTGCAGTGGGCTTTTTTAAAACTTTGAAACTGATCACTCTCATTCTTTACTAATTCCGCATGCTTCTTACCATCCAGAAATGCCAGAAATCTGTTGAGAGTTTCATTAAAACTCTGTTTTTCAACATCTCCTTGCTTGGTCTGATTCAAAGCACCCCAATTGCTTGTGGCACGGACAGCTGGCAGGAAAACAGTTGAAATAACATTCTTGATCCCAGGAAGGAGGCCCTCACTTCCATCCAACATTGAAAAGTATATGTCCTGAAAACAAAGCATTGTAATAGCTGTCAGAAGTCAGAAAAGCAAATATATCTTTCATGACAATATTTAATCTAATGATGCTTTTATGTCATTTTTTTAAAGGTCCGGTTCCTCTTTTGATAAGTTGGCAGGCTCCCCACGTCATAGTCTTTCTGCTCAGAAGAAAGCATGGTACCAACCCAGCACCACAAATCCCTACAATGTATTGCCTCTTTCCCTATCAGTGCCAGCATCTATCTGATGAGTGCTTTGCTGACAATAAGAATGTTGTTGATGATGACAAACATACCTCGTGCATGGTCTTAATATTCACAGAAATGTCATTTCTAGCTCGTACAAAAAACAAACAAATTCCTTTGAATTTCTCTGGTAACTCATCGACATGGAGTTTCATCATTTTAGTTCCTTTCAGCACTCCTGGAATTGCCCTGCCACACTCTGAAAATAAGCACAAATTAACATGGATGGCATTACTTTGGCATCTATTTTGTATTCAATGTATTGTCAAAGGTTTTCATGCTGGAATCACTGGGGTATTCTGTGTTTTCTGGCTGTCTGGCCATGTTCCAGAAGCATTCTGTCTTGATGTTTCACCTGCATCTATGGCAGACATCCTCAGAGGTTGTGAAGTCTGTTGGAAACTAGGAAAATGGGGTTTATATAGCTTTGGAATGTCCACTGTGGGAGAAAGAACTCTTGTCTGCTTGAGGTAGGTGTGGATGTTTCAATTAGCCACACTGATTAGCACTTAATGGCCTGGCGGTGTCAAAGTGTGGCTTCTTATTGCCTGGGGGAATCCTTTGTTGGCAGGTGATTAGCTGGCCCTGATTGTCTCTTGTCTGGAATTCCCCTGCTTTTGAGAGTTGTTCTTTATTTACTGTTATGATTTTAGAGTTTTTAAATACCAGTACCCAGATTTTGTTCATTTTAATTGTTTCTTCTTTTCTGTTGAAATTGTCCACATGCTTGTGGATTTCAATGGTTTCTCTATTTTGTATTTGGTAAGTGATGCAAGTAACTGTGCCATTCTTTTTTTAAAAAAAACGTTACTTGGCAAGTCTTACCCTGATATTTGACACCCAGGACAAATTGGTTTGGAACATCATCCCTTCTCTATCTCCTCATAAAACAAAAGCAGTGACAATGGTGGCCTTTACTCACAGGTGAGTGCATGTTCCCAGCAGACCCCATTCTTTTATCAAAGAAGTGTTCAGCCTAGGAAGAATACCTCTACATACCTTCTATCCCACACAAAGCTCCTCTCAATCTCTGTCACTCTAAAGCAAGGTCCTCAAACTAAGGCCAGGGGGCCGGATATAGCCCTCCAAGCCTATTTACCTGGCCCTCATTCAGTGTCAATCTAAGTCTGAAATGACTTGAAAGGACACAACAATCACAACAATCCTATCTCATCAGCCATAAGCAGGTCCACACTTCCCATTAAAATACTAATAAGTTTACATTTGTTAAAATTATTCTTCATTTTAATTATTGTATTGTTTTTAAGTGGTTTTTTTGCACTACAAATAAGATATGTGCAGTGTGCATTGGAATTCATTCATGGGTTTTTTTTTTCAAATTATAATCCATCCTCCAACAGTTTGAAGGACTGTAACCTGGCTCTCTGTTTAAAAAGTTTGAGGACCCCTGCTCTAAAGTATGGGAGATGGTTAGCTGAGTGTGCAAATAGAAGGAGACATGAATTGTTTCCCATTTTGGATGGAAGTGTAACCATGAAGGTGGAGAAGAAAGAAGTCAGCTGGAAATATTGAACAATAATTAACATTATGATCATTATTTAATTTCACTCCATCTTTCGTCCCCTTCTTTCCGTGTCCCCAAACTATGCTCTGTATGTCCTTGGCAAGTGCCCTACAACACTGCTTCTTAAACTGTGGGTCTTAATCCTAGTTGTAGCCCTCTTAGCAAAATGTTGGGGTCACAAAAAATTTGACGACAGTAAAAAGTTTCTGAGCACCACCCATTTAGACAAATATGTTAGCAATAAAATGCAGGATTTACAATCGATTCTACATAAAATGCTTCAGCTGTACTCTATAAAAAGGAAAGTCACCCTGTTTAACAAGCCTGATTTATTTTCAGTGAATGTTCCATTTTTATATGTATTTTACATGCCAATATACTTGGGGTCACATAAAAATTTCTTGGGCAAAATGGTTGTGAGTGGTAAAGGTTTAAGAAACCCTGTACTACTGTATTTAAACTCATAAAGAAATAAGCATGCAAGGAAAAGCTAGAGTGGAGGAGAAAGAGAATAGGCTGAATTTGTTACTGGTATTGTGCTATTTCAGTTTGTGTAAGGGCAGAGAGGGGAGGGCAGTCTTTTTCCCTCCAATAGTGGGCACACACTACACTCCATAGAATCAAAGAGATGGAAGAGACCTCACGGGCCATCCAGTCCAACTCCCTGCCAAGAAGCAGGAAAAATCTCATTCAAAGCACCTCCAACAGATGTCCCTCAAGCCTCTGTTTAAAAGCAGATGTCCATCAAGCCTCTGTTAAGGAGCCTTCATTACACTCCAGGGCAGAGAGTTCCACTGCTGAACAGCTCTCGCAGTTAGGAAGTTCTTCCTCGTGTTCAGGTGGAATCACATTTCAGTTTGGAAGTAGGTTAAAATGAATCCGTTTTGCTGTGGAATGCCTTGACAGACACCCCAGGAACTGTTTTGAGGCTGGGATGGTGGCCAAGTATCTGCTGATCTCAGATCACACCTGCCCGAATATGCAGGGGTTTTCTTCCCAACCAGTCTGCTGAAATGTGCTGATGTGCATATCCTCATCCATTTGGGATCTTCCCATTTCCAAGCCATTGTATGGGACATACTCTAATTGGCTGCAGCACATTTTTTGGCTTGTTATGGACTTTCTGTCTTGATCTGTACTACACTGTGCATTAGTGGTGTATTTTGCATGAGGAGAAAAATGTTTTATACAAAATGCATGGATATTTGTTTCTAAAAATGTAATTTCAATAGCATATATGCAAGTGAAATGTATGCACGCTACATAAATCTTTGACTTTATTTATTTAATCACTTTCAATAAATAAAGATGAGAATACTGTCCATATATCTGGATTTATTTCCCATCTGTTTGAAGGTTTGAGAAGGAGCTGCATAGGAAGATTAGTGCTTGGACATGATATGCAAACAAATTTTCCACTTAAACTATGTGCACACAGCATCAAAAGGTAGGTGGGGGAGCTATGCTTCCTGCGTAAAAAGACAGGTCCTACAAAGTGCATCAGGCTGAACAAAACAAACTATATATTGATGGACAAATACAAAATCCCATTTAATTTTAATGATTTTTTAAATGAGAATTTAAGTTGGGGGGGAATCTCTCCCAAAATGACTATCAGCCCTTTAGTATTTGCTAATTGGTTTTATGTGATTTTTATTGTTAGTAAAACTGAGAGCTTCATTTTATGGTTGCTGTGCTACTTTATTTAAATTTTGTCAGAAGTAATCTTGAGGGCTTTTTGTGGAGGAAGAGTGTGTGGATGTAAATATAACAAATATACACAACGGATTTCTTTGATACTAACGTATCCATCAAAATAGCTTTTAAAATACACCAATATCAAAAGGATAAGATTCTATTTTAACAATTCCTTTTTTGGATCTCATGATTGATGAAAATTAATTCTGTCAGCCATTATATCTGTCTAGTTTTGACAAACAATTTGTTGGTTAATGGACTGTAATTGAATCAAGAAGACTAAACTATACTACTTTCAATAAGAAGAAATATTAATATTTACCTACACCAGGAGCATCACCCTCCTGATAAATGAATTTCAGGGTTCTGGCTCCGTCTTTGGCAAAAAAACTATCAAATGGGTCTAACTGTTAAAAGAAACACAGATTATTTGAAGTCAAAATTGGATCGCAGATTGTTTTTTCAAAAGAAGTCAGTGTTGCTTACTAGTCGCCTTCGGGCTGAGAAAGGTGGTATATAAATATGGCAAATAAATAAATAAATAGAAATTGTTTAGTGAGAGTTGCTAAAGTTTCTTTCAAAGATATTTTCCTTTGCAATAATTATCTCACCATTTGGAAGAATTCCTCTTTTATAAAAATGCTATTGTTTTATATTTTCTTTTTTCTTTTTAAATGAATTATTTTTTATTTTCAATTTACATATTCATAAAAACAGTGAAACAAATCTATACACATGTATATATGCATTTTTTTTGTCGTGTCGGGAGCAAGTCGCTTCTGGTGTGAGAGAATTGGTCGTCTGCAAGGACGTTGCCCAGGGGACGCCCAGATGATTTGATGTGGGAGGCTTCTCTCATGTCCCCACATGAAGAGCTGGAGCCGATAGAGGGAGCTCATCCTCCTCTCCCCGGATTTGAACCTGCGACCTGTCGGTCTTCAGTCCTGCCGGCACAGGGGTTTAACCCACTGCGCCACCGGGGGCTCCGGTGTATATGCATGAGCCTATACAATACTTCCTAACATCTATGCCATATACATATTTATACTCTCCCCATACCTCTTATCATATTCCTTGCCACTCTCTGAACTCAGTCCAACGTGTCCATTTCCTTCTTTTAAAAAGGCATGCAGAACTGAATGCAGAACTCCTAGTGGGGCTTGTTCAGTGCAGAATATAGTGGAACTAATACTTCCCTTAACTTGGAAACTTTACTTCTATTAATGCAAGCTAAAATGGCATCCACCTTCTTTGCTGCAGCATCACAGGGCTCGTGTATGATCAACTATAACGCCGAAGTTCTTTTACATATAGCACCGCTTAGTAATACACACACACTCTCTCTCACACACACACACACACACACACATACACACTGTCCTATTCCTATACATTGGTCTCCATTGTATTTTATTGTATTAATTCCTGTCCAATTTCTAGTTTAGCATGGTCCTCTTCAATTCTGTTGCTGTCTTCCAGTGTGATAGATACTTTCCGCAGTTTTGTATCTTCCACAAATTTGATAACGATTCCCTCCTTTCCATCATCTAAACCACTGCTGCTTAATCCATGGGTCCCAGCCCCAAATGGGGAGCCCTTAGCTCAGTGTTGGAGTCCTGAAACATTTGGAAGCAGCAAAAATTTTATGAATGTCACCTGGTGGCTGTTTTAGAAATTCACACAAAAATGTGCAGTGTTTACAGTGTTTCAGCTGTACTTCATAAAAAAGATGTTTCAGCTGTACTTCATAAAAAGAAAAATCAGCCTGTTTAGCAAGTCTTACAAATGCAGATTTGTTATCAGTAAATGTTTGATTTTTCATGCCCATTTTATATACCTGTATACCCTGTTTTCTTTTGCATCTGAACACCCTATTTTCTTAGATAGTTTTAAAATTGCTGCATAGCAGAGATGATGGAAGCATCTGAAATAAAGAAAGTTTTTTCCCCC